GCCTTAGCCGGTTGAGCTATAGGCGCCGAGCCTTCATCATAAATCTTATGGGGGAAAGGCAAACAATCAGGATATGGTTCTTGCTGCACTTACATTTTCCTAACTCAACTATTTCTCTAACTACATTAATTAGATGGATTTACTTTTTACTTTTATTGCTCTAAGTATTTATGATCTTTAACATAAACAGAGAGCGGTGCCTGTGGCTCAAAGGAGTAGGGTGCTGGCCCCATATACCGGAGGTGGCGGGTTCAAACCTGGCCCCAGCCAAAAACTGCAAAAAATAAAAAAATTAAAAAATATTAAAGCGAGCAAGGGATGATGATGAAAGACCAAGAAAAGAACATCAGAGAAGATCCCAATTAGGCCACACAGATCACAGGAGTGACAATACTCAAGAAGCCTGTTCCTCAGACAGACAGACACTTCTGGTCATACCAAGGTGAGAGAAACGAAAAGATATTTTATCTCTTTATCTGGTCCGAGCAAATCTTGCTGTCTTTTTTTTTTTGGCCAGGGCTGGGTTTGAACCCTCCACCTCCACCATACGGGGCTGGTGCCCTACTCCTTGAGCCACAGGCACTGCCCAAATCTTGCTGTCTTTAACAAAGTTTAAACACTTTACATACTCTAACTTTACTCCCTCTCCCAAGGCGATTAGAGGCCTCCACCCATGCTGGCAAGCCTGGCCTGCTTAGACAACTCCCCCACTGCACAGTTGAGTTGGGAGGGGTGTAATTTTAGCAAGACACTTCTGGAGTTTTACTTTATGTTATTTTTATTGACACAGAGTCTCGGGGAGGGGAGGGGGGAGGATGGGTGGAGGGAGGGTGATTGGTGGGACCACACCTATGGTTCATTTTATAAGAGTACATGTGAATCTTTCTAAACGTAGAACATAAATGTCTTAACACACACACGAGATAGAGTCTCATTTCGTCACTCTTTTGTAGAGTGCTGTGGTGTCACAACTCATAGCAACCTCAAATTCTTGGGCTTAAGCGATTCTCTTGCCTTAGCCTCCCAAGTAGCTGGGACTACAGACACCCATCAATGCCTGGCTTTTTTTTTTTTTTTTTTAAGAGATGGGGTCGGGGGCTGACGGGGTCTCGTTCTGGCTCAGGCTGTTCTTGAACTCAAGAGCTCAGGCAATCCATGCACCATGGCCTCCCAGAGTGCTAGGATTACAGGCAAGAGCCACCTCGCCTAGCACTTTTGGAGTATTAAAGGCAACAGGCCTCCAGCACATTTTGTGCTGGGCTCAGGATTTTCTCCATCCACTTCCTCCTGTTTTCCATCCTCTGCAATCATTTTCTTAATTCAATTCCTAGCATACTTATACTTACAACTAATATTTGAATACTGGTTGCAATGCAAGCACATTAAGATATGACTTTCCTTAAGGACTCACACATGCACCCACACAAAACCCTATAAAACAGCATGCTGTCTTACAAATGGGAAATTATGGAATAGAAGAGTTAAGTTAAACTGTTCAACATCATAGAACTAGTTAAAAGGCAGCAGTAAAACTAGAGTCAGAGTCTGACTAAAAACCCTGAGTGTTACATACGACCACTATTCTAATGCGCCTATACTGTGTCTCTACTTAAAAGTTGCTATGCTTGTGCTACACCAGCATGGCATTTAAAATACAAGATCTGGTGACTTTAACCACTTCTAGCACATTTAATACTTACTCTTTTCACATTTTTACCACCACCAAGGCAACCAAGAGCTTCAGATCTTTGAGCAAAGAACTCTCCTAAAGACAGACGTAAGTAACTGGCCTCGTCTTTACCCAAATCCGATGTGTTAGGAGATTTCCTCAGTAGATTATAATTCATTGGTGCTCCCCAGGATGTGTCCCCCAATGCAGCTGAAGTGTTCTGAGCATCTATGTTTTCTTCCTAGAGAGAAAGTTACTGTCATTTTTTTTCTCCCAAGAAAGGTTTCTGTTCTTCTAATACTCAAAACTAAAATGATTTAAGAAAATTTCAAGAGTGGTGCCTGCGGCTCAGTTGAGTAGGGCGCTGGCCCCATATACCAAGGGTGGCAGGTTTAAACCTGGCCCTGAGAACTGCAACAGAAAAATAGCTGGGTTTTGTGACAGGCGCCGGTAGTCCCAGCTACTCGGGAGGCTGAGGCAAGAGAATAAGCCCAGCAGCTGGAGGTTGCTGTGAGCTGTGTGATACCAGGGCACTCTACCGAGGGCAATAAAGTGAGACTTTGTCTCTAGAAAGAAAAAAAATTTCGAAAGCAATTTTTTATAAACTGAACAAAAAAATTTGGATAAATTTAAGTGTATGTGACTACTATAACTAATAAAGACCAAACAAGAGAACTTTATTTTTTTGAGATACAGTCTCACTTTGTCATCCTCAGTAGAGTGTCGTAGTATCACAGCTCACAGCAACCTCAAACTCTTAGGCTTAAGCAATTCTCTTGCCTCAGCCTCCCAAGTAGCTGGGACTACAGGCTTCTGCCACAATGCCTAGCTCTTTTTTGGTTGTAGTTGTCATTGTTGTTTAGCAGGCCTGGGCTGGGGACAAACCTGCCATCCTCTGTATATGTGGCTGGCGTCCTACCCACTGAGCTAAGGGAACAGAAACCAGAACTTTATTTTTTAATACTTGAGCTATAATATGCATTATCTTAATATATTGCTTAATCAAAGTGTGCTATAAATAAGAATCCCTTTAGGAAGGGATTTATTTTTATAACAAACAGGATCACCTCATTTCATGTGATGGGAACACAGAGCACAACCCACAGCCTTCCCCACTATGCAATATGTACAAGCAACAGAACTCAACTTGTACACCCTCAATCTACTACAATTTTTTAAAAATGAAAAAAAAAAACATTGGAGAAAAATAAAAACAAACAAACAAACCATGCTTTCTAAACTATGGAAATACCCAGGAAGGATATAAAAGCCATTTAAAATAAATAAAAGATATATAGCATTATTCCAACTTTCTTCAATTAATAATCTAGAAAATGAAGGAAAAAGGAGTTTTCAAATCATGAGAAAAATAATTCTATACTATATATTTATTCAGAAAGAAATTAACATTTTTCCTACATTAAAATTAATAAAGAAAAATTTTAAATTTTGAGTAAAGCAAATAATTACAAACCTGTATAAACTGATGCTCTTTATTAAATTCTTCTTCATCTTGTGCAATCAAATCAAATGCTTCAGCTTAAAAAAAAGAATAAGTTTATATCATTATATTACACTAAGGCCTATTTAAACACTAGCACACAAATACAAGTTAGCTAATCAGGAAAATGAAAAACCAAGGACATACAATGTTAGCAAGTCTATGACGCTCCTACTCTTTATCACTGGGGTTGTCAACTTCTGCTAATGAACACCTTACCGCGACTGATTTTATCACTTAAGAAATTTGCCCTAATTTACTCCTCCAAGGGCTTTACAACATAAGTTTTTTATCTATAAAACACTGAATTAAGTTTAGCTTTGAGGAGGTGTCCCTCCTGGGGAAGCCATCAGATGGGACAGGCCTCTCTCCATACTCACCATGTGCATGCTGGCTGGGATCACCAAGTACCCATTTGCCCAAGAATATCCCAGTGTTAGAAAGTCCCTAGTCCCAGGAAATCCCATTCTGGGCAAACAGGGACTATCTATCCTCAAAGTGCCTGCTGAGCACCTCAGCTCCTGCTGGAGAGAGGAATGGCAGCTGCTCCCACATTACCAACCTCTCAGGCAAAGGCCACACACAAAATGCCTCCAGGCCAGGGGTAACCGGGCACAGCAGGGCAGGGCCTATTGAGCACTCTGGGAGTAGGGAGGTACTACCCAAACCAAGAGGCACGTGACCTACGTGAAGCATTAGGATTATAAGAATTGGACACATTTGCTAAATCAGAAAAGCCTGCAGCTGGACTCTAGGGTGCCGGTCTGAGGTCCGCTCTAGGCCCTGCTTGGCACTGGGGTTAGAGCAGAAAAGGGGAAGAGAATGGCGACTGAAAGGGACAGTCCACTAGGGAAGCTCCTCACTCTCATTTGTCTATCAGGATCTAATTAGGCCCACACACTCTCCTAGGACCATAGTCCCACCTTGACAACCTAGAAGAGAGAAACAAAAATGGACACAGGCTCGGCGCCTGTGGTTCAAGTGGCTAAGGTGCCAGCCACATACACCTAAGGTAGTGGGTTCGAATCCAGCCCGGGACCACCAAACAACGATGGCTGCAACCAAAAAATAGCCAGGCGTTGTGGCGGGGGCCTGTGGTCCTAGCTACTTGGGGAGGCTGAGGCAGAAGAGTCACTTGAGCCTAGGAGTTGGAGATTGCTGTGAGCTGTAATGCCACGGCACTCTAACCAAGGATACAGCTTGAGGCTCTGTCTCAAAAAAAAAAAAAAAAAGAATGGACACAGGACAGCACTTCCAGTGAGGAGAAGCAGGGCACCAAAGGCTACTCAGGGGTCTTCCCTATCAGAACAGTGCCAGCTTTTGACGTTGCAAGGCCATCATTTCTCATATGAACACATTTTTAATCTATGAACATACTCTTAACCTATAAATGAACATCGGGAGAACCGTGAAGCTCCCAGAACTACATGCAAAATCATATATTCCACAAAAATCTGTTCCTATAAAGAGCCTGTACAGGATCTGTGATGCAAGGTACTTTAAAAGCCACTACCCCTAAATGTAAAGTACCAACCAACCAAATCTGATAGCCAAGAGAGGGAAGTAGGAACTCTCCCCCATAACAGGGCAGCCCAGAAGAAATAAATTTATTTTGATGAGTTACATATCAAGTGTTTTTTTTTTTTTTTTTTTGAGACAGAGTCATCCTCTGTCACCACAGGTAGCAACCTCAAACTCTTGAGCTTGAGCAATCCTCTTGCCTCAGCCTCTCAAGTAGCTGGGACTATAGGCACCCACAACAATGCCTAGCTATCCACATGTTTTTTTAATCCTTGGGTAGAGAGCTCAAATTACCATTTATTATATTCCTAAGTACTTTTTCTCTCACCTTTAAGAGAGTCTTTAGTTAAAGAAAGATCCACAATAATACTATGTTACCTGGTCTGCTCATAGGCAATAAGAAAATAGAACTTTCAGGGTGGTAAAAGCAGCTGCTGACTCTTGAAGGCGCTGGGAGTGAGAGAATCTCCTGCCAGCAGGGAGATGCTTTGCTGCCCAGAGACAAGCCCTCCAGCGACTGCATGTGTTAATGAGCTAAGAGCGTTTTAGCAAGCAGGCGTTATACTTTGGATATTCCGGGTGCAGCAGGGAGGGAGTCCAGCCCGCAGGGAGAGCATGTAATGATCATTAAGCAGGTAGCTAGAGTACACGGGTCCCCACACCTGTTGTATACGCTTCAACAATAAAAGGCCACGACAGAGGTTGCTCATAGCTTTCCCAGGACGGACAGGAAGCCCACCTCTTACAGGCTTGTATCTCAACCCGTATCCTGGCTGGTTCACATGTGCAGGAACAGGGTGCCACAGGGGACACCAAAAGTTCTTTTATAAGAATGCAAGACTAACTGTCTGCAGTCCTCTCATTTGGCACGTGAATTACATTTTGTAGCAGTGATTACATTTTGAAGCAGACCTTGTGTTTTCCCCTAATGTTAAGGTGACCAGACGTCCCACTTTTGGTGGGATAGTCCCGATTTTTAACAATTTGTACCGCGGCGTTTTTAAAAAGTCCCAATATGCACAGCTAGGGAACAGCAGAAGAATGAGAAGGGAATATGGTTTTCTCGGCTGCTGAAAAGGTTAATGTAACTCCATTTGGGAATGAAAAGGTTAATGTAACTTCATTTGGAAATGAAAAGGCTAATGTCAACTCCCTACTACCCTCCCGGGCAAGGTATCAAGAGACTGGCTCCCTCCCTTGCTTCTAGGCAAGGACAATTACCTCAGAAGGAGCCAAACTGTCTGGAACAAACAAGTAGTTCCCTCCTCCCAAGGTGACCAGATGTCCACTTTTGACGGGACAGTCCTGATTTTTGGAAAGAATGCAGGACAAGCTAGGGAATGGCGGGAGAACAGGAAGGGAATATACAATTTTCGGCTGCCATGTGGCTATTTCACCAGGATATGAGTTTTATATTATTTTTTTTAATTTTATAATGTTAAATTTTAATAATAACAAATAATTGTGTGAGAAATGATTATTGAGAACTGCTTATCAAAGTTTGCCTTGTTGTCAGCCCCGCCCCACCACCCCCCTCCGCCCCCATCAATGGTGTCCTGCTTTACCAATGTTAAAATCTGGTCACCTTACCTAATGTTAAACTCTAGGCTATAAGCAGAAATGACGCAGTACCTTGGACATAAGGCGCTATAAGCAGGGGAGGTGGACAAGGGATGAGGATGACAGTCTTGCTCTGTTGCCCAGGCCGCAGTGAAGTGGTGGGATCATAACTCACACCAACCTCAAACTCCTGAGTTTGTGTGATCCTGCTGCCTCAGCCTCTAACCTGAGACTGGAATTACAGGCACCCATCAGGACACCTGACTAATTTTTATTTTATATAGAGATGCGGTCTTGCTATGTTGCTTAGGCTAATCTCAAACTCCTGAGCTCAAGCGATACTCCCACCTTGGCCTCCCAAAATGAGATTACAGGTGTGAGCCACCATGCCTGGTTAGGGTAGTACTTCTTAGGGAAATTTTTTTGAATAAAGTTTGTAAATGGGGGCTCAGTACCTATATATAGTTCAGCAGCTAGGGCGCTGGCCACATACATCAGAGCTGCCGAGTTGAATCTGGCCTAGGCCTGGCCAAACAATGACAACAACAATAACAAATAGCCAGGCATTGTGGCAGGCACCTGTAGTCCCAGCTACTTGTGAGGCTGAGGCAAGAAAACAGCTTAAGCCTAAGAGTTTGAGGTTGCTGTGAGCTGTGATGCCACTGTACTCTACTGAGGGCAATATAGTGAGACTCTGTCTCAAAAAAAAAACAAAAAATGTTTGTAAATGAGTACATTTTCATTACAAATGACTTGGGCATTATAAAATCAGGCCATTGGCTGAACTCCCTTTTCTGAATATCTTGTTTTCTTACTTTTTTTTTTTTTAGACAGATCTCACTATATCGCCCTCAGTAGAGTGCGGTGGCATCACAGCTCACAGCAACCTCCAACTCTTGGGCGTAAAGTGATTTTCTTGCTTCAGCCTCCCAAGTAGCTGGGACTATAGGCACCCCCTACAATGCCCAGCTATTGTTTGGTTGTAGTTATCATTGTTGTTTGGCAGGCCCAGGCTGGGTTCAAACCCTTCAGCTTCAGTATGTGTGGCTGGTGCCCTAGCTGCTGAGCTACAGGTGCCGAGCCTTTTCTTACATTTTAAAAACGCCTGTCTCCCCTCCTATCCTAAGGTTCCCTTTTCATTCAGGCTATCCCACCTGTTTCCCTTGACCAGGCCCATCCTTCCTTTTCAGCATCCATCCTATTTCCACCTACCAGCCTCTTTTTTTTTCTTTTTTCTTTTATTAAATGATAACTATGTACATTAATGCAATTTTGGGGTACAGTGTGGTGTTTTCACATACAATTTGAAATATTTTCATCAAACTGGTTAACACAGCCTTCATGTCATTTTCTTAGTTATTGTGTTAAGACATTCATATTCTACTTAGAAAGATTTACTTGTACCCTTGTAAGATAAACCATAGAAGTGATCCTTCTAATCACCCTCCTCCACCCATTTCTCCCACCTCCTCCCTCCCCCCATTTTTAACTAAAATTAATTTAACTAAAATCATAATGGATTTTAATTTTAAAATTAATTTTTAACTAAAATCATAACTGTATACAATTATGGGTACAACGTGATGGGTTGATACACAACATGGAATGTTTCAATCAAACTGACCAACGCACTTCACTCACTTGTTTTTTGTGGACAGCCTCCTCCTTGTCCCTGCTTCCTCACACCCACACCACTCATCCTTTCCCACCTGGCTACTCTTTTCCCTAAGCACAAGGATAATTTCAGTAAGTGTTTCCATTATCTATTTTTATTTTATTTTTTTTAATAGTAATAATTCAAAATCCAATAATTCAAAATCCAAAAGCTATATGGATATTATACTTCAACAAAGAGTTTTTCAAAGTTAACCAAAGGCTTTAATGAGCATACACAGAAAAGCACCCCTGTCCCTGACTCAATTTACCATACCTCCAGAACCAAACAACGGATAGATACACTGAAACCTCTCACTATCTAAATCTTATTCTTGTAATCAGTTTGGTAATGAAACTGTATGCAAGGGTGTGAAGGAAACCTATTCCATCTTGGCACAGCCTCTAGGTATGGTAGCATCACGTCTGGCAGAGCTACAAACGTAGCTCTTATTTGATCTTTCTGCTTTATTTGACAAACACATGCATGCACACATGTGTATGTGTGTCCTCCCTTCTCTTGCCTTTCTACAAAAATGTCAGATACTTTATGTGTTTTTTTTTTTTTTTTTGAGACAGAGTCTCACTATGTTGTCCTCGGTGGAGTGCCCTGGCATTACAGCTTACAGCAACCTCAAACTCTTGGGCTATAGTGATTCTTCTGCCTCAGCCTTCCAAGTAGTGGGACTACAGGCACCTGCCACAATGCCCAGCTAGTTTTTTTTTTTTTTTTTTTTTGGTTGCAGTTGTCATTGTTGTTTAGCCTGTCCGGGCTGGGTTTGAACCTGCCTGCCTCAGTGTATGTGGCTAGCGCCCTAACCACTGAGCCACAGGCACCAAGTCGACCATCAACGTTTTAAGTGACAAAGTCAAATCCACTGTTCAGTCTGGACCTTTGTTGTCAAAAATCAAAGCATCATTACTGGGCATTGTGGCAAGCACCTGTAGCCCGAGCTACTTGGGAGGCTGAGGCAAGAGAATCACTTGGCCTGAGAGTTTGATGTTACTGTGAGCTGTGACACCACAGCACTCTACCAAGGGTGACAAAGTGAGACTCTGTCTCAAAAAAAATAAAAATAAAAAAAAATAAAATCAAGACATCATTGTCTAAAAATAAAAATAATAAAATCAAGGCATCATTGATCAAGTCTTAATGGTAACTTACCTTCAAATTTCTAACCCATATTTACAACTACTGAAAATATGGTTGTGGTTACCTCCACTATAAAACATAATCACCAAAAAGCCCTAGACTTTCTTGTTTTCCTCTACTTCAGCAAATGGTGTTGCCACTTCCCCAGTAACTTAGACTGTGTTCTTTGCTTGCTTCTCTACTATCTTCTGATATCCAGCCACCTAACTATTCTACTTCTGTCTTTAATTAGCTATTTTCTCTTCATTTTCATTGTGACAGCAAGATTTCTACAACATCCTAAGAACCCTCTCAATTCAAATGACCATCACTGCCAGGAGAAGACTCACAAACAAGCTGGAGTGGCAATCGCCCATTGCTTACTTACCAAACGAGCCCCAGCTCTGGGGCACGGCAGTCTAAACCGCATCCATGACCCGGCCCTGCTTACCTCCCCAGCTTCATCCCTTGGTCTCATTCATGTTCCCCTTCACCTGCTGCAAACACTAGCCATACTGGACCATTCACCCTCTCAAAACATGCCCATGCTTCACCACCTCATTCTCTTTCAACTGGATTTTCCTTCCATTTGAAATTTCTCATGCCCTACCCCAAAGGATTGCCCATTGAACTTTAACCTTACCAGTGATCTCCTGTGTGAACTTCTCTTGCTACCTACTCGTATAAAAGTCATCTACTCTCTGAACTCCAAAGGGTTTTGATTTCTGTCCTTTATGATGATCACCTGGCTCTGTATTCCTGCCTCATTGCTCTTGGCTAGTAGTCTCATAAGTGTTGAAATCATGCCTCATTTATCTCTGAACTTCCACATCCTTAGTGGTTAGGAGATTTGGACAAGCAGTAGCAACAATCACTTCTTCCCCAGGCCCCATCTGAGCCTATTAAAATTAAGACTGGCTTTGACAGGCCAGTGACCTTTCCTCAATCCAGCCACAGAGCATTCAAGCACTGGTGGCTGCAGGCCAGCAGCATCCTCACATCCTCATTAGCTGGAAATGCCCTGCCCTGGCACCCTATAGACCTGCCAGCTCAAATCTTCACACTGACAGAGGTTATGCTGAGCAACGACCCTAACTGCCCCTTTTAATGCTCTTATCCCTTGAGACTTATTAGTATTTTTTTGTTTTGTTTTTGCAATAGAATGTCACTTTGTCACCCTTGGAAGAGTGCTATGGTGTCATCATAGCTCATAGCAACCTCCAACTCCTGGGATCAAATGAACCTCTTGCCTCAGCCTTCCCAGTAGCTGGGACTATAGGCGCCTACCACGATGCCTGGCTATTTTTTTTTAAGAGATGGGGTATTGCTCTTGCTCAGGCTGGTCTCAAACTCCTGACCTCAAGCAATCCACCCACCTCAGCCTCCCAGGGAGCTAGGATTACAGGCGTGAGCCACCACATCCGGCTGAACAGTATCTTTTTTGTCACTTTTTCCCATCATTTCCACCACATTTCTTAGCTTTTACTTCAAAATGGATTAGCTTTAGTAAGTGCTGATTTACCAGAACACTTTTTTTTTGCTCAGGACAGAATTTTGAAAGTGGCCCAGCACAACCTGAAGTCCCTTTCAGCCCTGTAGCACCAGAGGCTCTAAAAGGAAGCAAATGAGTAGAGTCTGCCTTGTTGCCTTTGCTTCAGAAAGTAGCTCAGCTCATTCTGTAATGACTAAGACTGACCAGTTCAAGCCTTGGTTCCTAGAAAAAGAAGTGGAAAAATTCCAGAATACAATTATATTCCAGAAGAGATGGGATGTGGCTGAACACCATGAATAAGTTATCTCAGAAACACCACTAGAAACAATGAAAACGGTATAATAAATGTAGGTATCCATATACTTACAACCAGATCTGAAGTCTTCGTTCATCTCACCACTTACAGATATATTTAAATCTCGCTCATTACTAAAGGAGGTGTAATAGGCAAGGTCAGTGACCCATCTGCCCTCTTCATTTTGATAGACCACACTCTCTGGGAGATTTGTTTCTGGAATATAAAATTCCACAAATATCCAATGATACATGTAACAACTAAAATGATAAAACATTCTCAAATAATTTTTATTTAGGCAACTGCCTTAGATATCAACAGTACTGAAGTCTGTTCAAAACTAGTTAGAAAAAAGAGCACTCTGGGAAGCCAAGGCAGGTGAACTGCCTGAGCTCAGGAGTTCAAGATCAGCCTGAGCAAGAGGAAACCCCCATCTCTAAAAATAGCCAGATGTTGTGGTGGACACCTATAGTCCCAGCAACTTCGGAGGCTGAGGCAAGAGGACCACTTGAGTTCAAGAGTTTGAGGTTGCTGTGAGCTATAATGCCACGGTACTCTAACGAGGGCAACTGAGTGAAACTCTGTCTCAAAAAAAAAAGTTAGAAAGAAGAAAACCCAGGCGGCACTTGTGGCTCAGTGGGTAGGGCGCTGGCCCCATATACTGAGGGTGGCAGGTTCAAACGCTGCCCTGGCCAAACTGCAACAAAAAATAGTTGGGCGTTGTGGCAGGTGCCTATGGTCCCAGCTATTCAGGAGGCTGAGGCAAGAGAATCGTCTAAGCCCAGGAGGTGGAAGTTGCTGTGAGCAGTGTGACACCACAGCACTCTCCTGAGGGTGGTAAAGTGAGACTCTGTCTCTACAAAAAAAAAAAAAAAGAAAAAAGAAAACCCATTTCCCCCAAAAGAAAAGCATATCTCTGATGTTGGATGATCCAGCCTCACTTATAGAGGATAAGGGGTGAAGCAAAAGCATGCTAAGACCTAGACAGGCACACTTCCACTTGATCCCTCACTTAAAATTCTATTTCTAAGCAATCCTCCCTGTAATAGATAAAAAAAAATTTATTTTAATCTAGAAAACACTTAAATATTTCCTGTTATGAAAGACTGGCAAATTCCACATGTAAATATAACCTACACAAAATGTACAAACATCTTATTTCTGTAGTTCCTTTTCTTTCTTTCTTTCTCTTTTTTTTTTTTTTTTTTTGGAGACAGAGCCTCAAGCTATCCCCCTGGGTAGAGTGCCTTGGCATCACAGCTCACAGCAACCTCCAACTCCTGGGCTCAAGCGAGTCTTCTGCCTCAGCCTCCCGAGTAGCTGGGATCACAGGCGCCTGCCACAACGCCCGGCTATTTTTGGTTGAAGCTGTCATTGTTTGGTGGGCCCAGGCTGGATTCGAACCCGCTGCCTTGGGTGTACGTGGCTGGTGCCTTAGCCACTTGAGCCACAGGTGCTGAGCCTCCTTTTCTTTTTTTTAAGGACACTTACTGTCTTCACCATTCTCAATGGACTCATGATGTTCACATGTCCGCCTTTCACAAGTTGGTGACCAAAGAACATCAGCAGAGTTAACCTCCTCGTCACAAGCAGGCTTCAAAGATGCTACGTTCATGTGGTTTTGAATGGACACTGTAGAAGCCTCAGGGTCCACACGTCTACTCTCACACAAAACTGCTTCTGAGTCGAATGCTGAAGGTTGGAATGGATTAGGAGATGCTTCCCCATGTTTTATGGGGTCAGTAAAATCAAAACCACCTTTATCAGCATTTATGTCATGAAAATCAATGGGCGTAAGTTTCCCATTGGCAGCTCTGAGAGTCTTCACCAGAACACCTTTTCCTGCACTTTCCTTTAATGAAAAGAAAAAATCAGTAACAGCAATATAAGTTTTTTCATAATTCATTCTGAAATTTATGAAAAAAAATAAAGTTGATAAAAATGCTTATTATATGAAGAAACAAAATGTATACACTGTATTCTAGACCCCATATGAACCAATGATAAGCAATTCACCAAAACTGACCTTTACAATGTGGTCATGGGAAACCGGATCAGGCCTGGCTCAGTGGTTCACACCTGTAATCTCAGCACTCAGAGGCCGAAGCAGGTAGACTGCTTAAACTCAGGAGTCTGAGGCCAGCCTGAGCAAGAGTGAGACCCCATCTCTACTAAAAACAGAAAAACTAGCTGGGTGTAGAGGTAGGCACCTATAGTCCCAGCTACTCAGGAGGCCGAGGCAAGAGGATTGCTCAAGCCCAAGAGTTTAAGGTTGCTGTGAGCTGTGATGCCATAGCACTTACCCTGCTGTGAGCTGTGATGCCACAGCACTCTACCCAGGGCACAGAGTGAGCAGCTCTGTCAATTTCAGACGGAGTAGTCTTCAAAGCAAGGAAAGTTATCAGTGATAAAGTAGGGCATTCCATAATGATAAAGGGTCACTTCTCTAAGAAGACGTAATAGTCCTTAAAGTGTATGCTCCCTAAAAAAGAGAGTTAAAATACTCACATCTTAAACTGGCATACTTGCCCTTCTATCGGTTTTTGCCATATATACTTTGCATGGAAAAATACGTAAATCTACTATCATGACTGGAAGCTTCAATACCCTCTATCAGAAATAGAAAGATCTAGCAGAAAGAAAGTCAGCAAGGGCACAGGTGAACTCGACAGCACCACCAATCAACTGCATAGATGAATATCCATAGAATATCGCATCCCAAGACAAAAGAACACACATTCTTCCTAAGCTCACAAAGAACATTCACCAAGACAGAAGACATCCTGGGCCATAAAACATACCATCACAAATTTAACAGTAATCATACAATGTCTACGCTCAGGCCCCAATGGAATTAACTAAAAGTCAACAAAAACAAAAAACTAGAAAACCCCAAAATGAGTAGAAAACAATCCCTTCTAAATAACACATGGATCAAAGATGAAGTCTCAGGAGAAATTAACAATTTTTTGAAATAACTGGAAATGAAACCACAACTTATCAAGTTGTGGGGTACAGCTGAAGCAGGGCTCACAGAGCAACACTCAGCCCTAGATGCACACACAGGGTCAAAATGTACTTACATCAGCCTGGATGGCACAGACCACTATACCTGCCACACCTTGGCCATACAGTCGGCTCACTGCAAATCTGTACGGCATGTTACTGCACTAAATATTGTAGGCATCTGTCACACAATGGTAAGTACTTGTATTCTAAATATATGTAATTACAGAAGAGGTACAGTTAAAATACTACATCACTGTTTTTATGTGGTCCATCATCTACCAAAACATTGGCATGCAGCACATGACTATATTTAAAAGAATAAAAATCTGAAATCAACCATCTAAGTGTCAACTTCAGGAAATCAGAAAAAGAAAAGCAGGGGCAGTACTTGTAACTCGGTGAGTAGGGCACCAGCCCCATATACTAAGGGTGGCGGGCTCAAACCCGGCCCTGGCCAAATTGTAAGAGCAACAACAACAAAATAGCTGGGCATTGTCGTGGGTGCCTGTAGTCCCAGCTACTGAGGAGGCTGAAGCCCAAGATCTGGAAGTTGCTGTGAGCTGTGACACCACAGCACTCTACCAAGAGCGACAAAGTGAAACTCTATCACTAAAAAAAACAAAAAAAAGAACAAAATAAAAAAAAAAAGCAAGTTAAATCCAAAATAAGCACTATCAAAGAATAAATTAAGGTAGAAATTGATGATTGAAAACAGAAAATTGAGAAAAATCAATAAAACCAAAAACTGGTTCTCTTAAAAGATCAATAGAATTGATATGACTCAGCTCGGCACCCGTGGCTCAAATGGCTACAAGGCGCCAGCCACATACTCCTAAGGTGGCGGGTTCAAATCCAGCCTGTGTCGCCAAACAACGGCTCTGAGTGAGGCTCTGACTCACAAAAAAAAAAAAAAGAGAGAATACTAAAGGAGCACTATGATAAATCTATGCCAACAGAGGTGCTAAGGCAGATGAAGTGGACAAATTTCCCTCAAAGAATCCAAAAAAACTCTCACAAGAAGATACAACACCCAGTGGCTCACGCCTGTAAATCCTCCCAGCACTTGGAGGCCAAGGTGGGTGGACTGCCTGCACTCACAGGTTCAAGATAGCCTTGGCCAGAGTGAGACCTCATTTCTAAAAAATAGATGAGTATTGTGGTAGGTGCCTGTAGTTCCAGCTACTCAGGAGGCTGAGGCAAGAGTATTGCTTAAGCCCAAGTGTTTGAGGTTGCTATGAGCTGTGACACCACAGGACCCTACCAGGACCACAGGTTGAAACTCTGTTACAAAAAAAAAAAAATAGACTAGAAATGAATCATCAGAAATTGTGTTTTTACTTTCAGAGGAAGAATTCCAATCTTCAAAAACATTCAGAACATAACTCAATCAGAACTGGAGACTTCTTACAATAGGTGCTATGTGATTCAATCACAAGGACTCTGCTTTACTTTATAGTAATCTAAGTATTTCTTTTATTTCCCTACTGATAATCTATGTATGGCCTACATCATCCCACACCTACTGCCAAGAGCATACCAGATAGTTCTTAGTTGAAATGATCTCACCGAGGTTTCCTAGCAATTTGTGAGTATTTGATGATACTAAAATTTGGTTTTAATGGCACATAGTCACTAATTAGTAAAACAATCACTGTATCATACTAGAACGAAATTCTAGGCACAAATTTAAATGGCCACAGACTGACATACAGGGGAACCTCAGCAAGCCAACCACTCTTGTAAGTTGGTCCCCATATGGAGGTACTTACCATGAGGAACCAGGCCTACACCACTGATACAAACATGTGGTGCAGGTCCTGTCTGTGAAAATTAGGTCAACACAATGTGGTCAGTGCAGGAAGGTGGTTAACTATGGAGGCTCTACTGTATTTATAAAACTTAATAACTATCAAGTTTTAACAAAAATCAAGTAACTAACAAATACTGTCTCTTTCTTATTTCTGAATTTGCTACCACTAATTGCTGAGGACAGGACATCCATTCACTAAGCATATTAAAGCCCCATAACGCTGCTTCATCAACTCCACATACATAGCAATGGTCACACACACGACCAAGCACCCCAGCACAGTCTGCGGAGGAAAGTGCCATGGACTCTGTTCTAGTTACCTGAGAGAGGCTTTGTACTTCATATGTATTTATATATACCTGGTTCTTCTGATGAGTTACACATTCCTGAGGCTGCTGCATAGCCAACTTCTGTGTACTTCTGTACATCATAAAATGCTGTCTTCTAGCACATAGTTACTATGAGAGGAGTCATTAAAAAGGAAACAGGAACTTGACCCATGACTGGAAAGATTATGAGTTGAATTAGGGAAGGAAAGGAGAAAAGCATAGTGAGGAAGAGACAGATGATATGTGGTCAGACTGCAGTACACCTTAAGAACTCCTACTGTGCGACCCAGGACACAGAGGGTGTCACACACAGGAGAAGCCACCATGGCAAGATTAATCTGGTAGTCATGAGCATGACAGAGTAATAAACATTATAGGTGGGCAATAAATCAGACACAGTCAATAACTCCTTGAATGTGAAGGGGCATAATGGAAATAAACAGAAAAGAAAAAAACCCTACTTGGGAGGCTGAGGAAAAAAGAGCTCTTGAGTCCAAAAGTTTGAGGTTGCTGTGAGCTATGACACGACGACACTCTACCAGGGTCACAGAGTGAGACTCTGTCTCAAAAACAAACAAACAAACAAAAGAACAAAATGTAAGACACAGGCCTGCAGATGAAGACACACAGATGGGGCTCAGTCATCAGGACTTCATCACCCTGAAATGATAACCACCCTCCTTGCTACTTTAATACACACAAGGGATTATCCTAAGAACAAAATGAACCTTTTTTTTTTTTTTGAGACACAGTCTTACTTTGTTGCCCCCAGGAGAGTGCTGTGGTGTCATAGCTCACAGAAACCTCCAACTCTTTGGCTCAAGCCATTCTCTTGCCTCAGCCTCCTGAGTAGCTGGGACTAGAGGCGCCTGCCACAACACCTGGCTATTTTTAGAGACAAGGTCTTGCTTTTGCTCAGGCTGGTACAGAAACTGTGAGCTCAGGCAATCCACTCAACTCAGCCTCCCAGAGTGCTGGGATTACAGGCGTGAGCCACCGCACCCGGCCAAAATGACTCTTTCTATGTAGAAGCACACACACTCCTTCTAAAATCACTCTACACTCCCAAGTCATACTTTGCTCAAAACGGGTAGAAGGACAGGTAAGTCAGGAATGACTACCCGGTTCCAAGTGTAGGAGAAACAGGCTGTCATTAACAAGTAGGAAAAAATGAACAATGAAAAATATGCTTGAGCAATGTAAAAGAGGATCAGTGTACTATTTTACAATTTAAATGTAAAAAATATATACAATTGTATATTTAATGTAATGTTAGTGATATCAAAGATACAAACACACAGAAACGCCCTTACTAATGATTTTTGTACTTTTTCTATATCTTTCAGAAGTCAGCAGTAATTGCTTTGTTGAAAATAACTGATAAATAAACACAAGATTCCTTCTTTCTTTTCATAAAAAATTAATAAAAAATACATATAAACTTACTCTGCCAGAGGCAGCACCTGTGGCTCAAAAGGGTAGGGCACCAGCCTCATATACCAGAGGTGGTGGGTTCAAACCCAGCCCCGGACAAAAGAAAAAACAAAAAAACTTACTCTGCCAGTATCTGGAAAAATACCCCTCAAATTATCTGCCTTTTCTTTCTCAGCTCTCCAAGTACTAGAGGAAAATGGTAAGACATCATCTATAGGCCTTCTAGTATCTTCAGTATCTACAGAATTACCTGAAAAATAAAGACAAAAAGAAAATGCAGCAATCTCAACATCTGAGTAATCTAATGTGATAACTGCTTCTTGCCGAATACTTAACATTCACGTTACAAATTCAGCAATTCACACATGAGAAAATGAGCAGCAGTAAGAGGCAACAAACCCTGATAAACTATCACACAGAGAGAGTTCATAGGCCCAGGCACAGAAGCTCACAGCTACCACCTCAGCAGGACTGGGGAGGCCAAGGCAGAAGGATTACTTGAAGCCAAGAGTAAAACCGGCACGGGCAATAAATATAGAGTGACCTTGGGTCTACAAAAACTTTTTTTTTCTGAGACCGAGTCTTACTATGTCACCTGTGGTAGAGTGCCGTGGCGTCACAGCTCACAGGAACCTCAAACTCTTGGGCTTAAGCGATTCTCTTGCCTCAGCCTCCCAAGTAGCTGGGACTACAAGTGTCCACCACAACATCTGGCTATTTTTGTTGT